ACCACAGCAAGGTTGGAGTCCACTGACTAGAAGTGGCTGTGTTCATGTGTTGAATAGAGTGTTTTGGGCATTAGCTAACTATGTATATAGCTAACTTGAGAAGCAAAGCTAACTTGCACTTAGAAGAAGGCAGTGAGCAAAAGTAAGTAATAATTTATGAGAATGAGATGGATTGCAAGAAACAGATTTCATTTTTATTCAGTGCCCTATTAAGAACCACAGATGACATAACAAAATAACAATGACATTTTTGTCAATGAAGCCCATTAAACGAGGACAGTTACATTGTTAGCAACTGTCCCATTTTAGAATGTCTGATCACAATAATTACGCTAGCATTTTTTAAATTTATTTAGAATAAATCACAATGCTCTGTTGATTTGATTTTTAACCAAAAAAAAAAAAAAGTTTGCTGTTCAACAAAAGCACTATTATTGGAATGAAAATTCAGGTTTGGAACAGCGTGATGCCACAGTTGTCATTTTAATTGAGCTATTCCTTTAATCAAGTGCATTGATGTCAGTTTAGACTTGAGACTCTCCCAGATCTTAAATCTGATGAGCGTACAGATATTAGCATTTGTAGTGAAACTATGTCTCCATTAATTCAGAAGTAGGCATCTCTTCCACACTTAAATATCAGCGTCTGAGTCTGTCTGCAAAGCCGACTGTTTGTTCAGAGTAAAGAGCGTCTGTGGTGTTACGCGGCTCTAACGGAGTCCCTGGCAACCAGAGTGGCCCACCCTGACCCGGACCACTTCATAGAGGATGTGAGTGGACCTGAACTAACCCAGGATAAATTCAGTCATTAGAATAAGGGCAGACGGGGTCGTAGCAGTGTCACGCAGACAACAGCCATTGTGAGGTGACAATGTTGGTTCGGGCTCAGCAGGAAACAGCAGGCGGATGGGCTGTGATGATGGATGGATCTCTCCATGACACAATGGACGAGGAGATTGATAGATGGGAAATGCAGACGGAGGGCCACACAGAGGCGGATGTGAGCTGTTTGCTCTGGGACAAAGTGAGAGTGATGGAAAGGTGGGGGCTCGAAAGGCATTGACAGAGACATTGATGTCATTCCACAGATGTGTGTGCGAGATTGTCGTAGAACGGGTATCTTCGTTTTGAAAAGAGACATATTATCTTTGGTGTAGATATTGTGGATTAAAGTAAAGCAAAAAGGGCTGTGGTTACAGTGATTTTACCATGGTGAAAGGGTATAGTTGACATGACACAAAGCAGAGAGATAGAATACATGAAATAATTTAATGTTTATTATAAAAAATAAATTAATTAAAAGGGGGAGATCATTTTTTTTATTTATACAAACAAATTATTTTATTTAATTTACTCACATTTTTGTTAGTTGTATTTTTTATATTTAAAGTTATAATAATAGATAATCCATTTATTATTAAAAAACACACACACTACTGTTCAAAAGTGTGGGCTTAGTAAGGTTTTTAATGCTCTTTGAGACAAGTCTTACGCTCATTAACGCTGGTAAAACAGTCATATTTTTTTTTTATTAAATCTTCTTTTCCTTTCGGCTGTTCCCTTCAGGGGTCGCCACAGCGAATCATCTGCCTCCATCTAGCCCTATCCCCTTCTGCATCCTCTTCTCTCAGACCGACTACCTTCATGTCTTCCTTCACTACATCCATAAACCTCCTCTTTGGTCTTCCTCTCGGCCTCCTGCCTGGCAGCTCTAACCTCAGCATCCTTTTCCCGATATATTCACTCTCCCTCCTCTGAACATGTCCAAACCATCTCAACCTGGCCTCTCTAACTTTGTCTCCAAAACATCTCACATGTGCTGTCCCTCTGATGTACTCATTCCTGATCCTATCCATCCTCGTCACTCCCAAAGAGAACCTCAACATCTTCAGCTCTGCTACCTCTAACTCTTCCTCCTGTCTTTTCCTCAGTGCAACTGTCTCCAAACCATACAACATCGCTGGTCTCACTACTGTCCTGTACACCTTTCCTTTCATTCTTGCTGGTACTCTTTTATCACACAACAAACCTGACACTTTTCTCCACCATAACCCATACTGTATATACACATATTCAGATTAATAGTTGTTTTTTCAGTGGTTGATTTAATGAAAATAGTATATAGTAAAAATATAAAATATATAATGATCATATTTCATTTTTATTAAAGTAATTAATTTAATTGATCATTTCAGGAATTATAAATCTAAACTGTTCCAATTATTTGTGAATTGTTAATTTCTGAATGATTACTTAAAAAAATGATAAAAATAGAAATAAATAAAATAAAATATATATTAATATTGCAAAATATTTACATTTTATAAAAATACATTTTAGACACACACACTAAATAATTATATACACAAATATTATTTATTTATTTGATAAAATTTCAGGAATTATAATATTATAATTTCAGCAATTTAAATTGCTGAAATTATAATATTATAATTCCTGAAATTTTATCAAATAAATAAATAATATTTGTGTATATAATTATTTAGTGTGTGTGTCTAAAATGTATTTTTATAAAATGTAAATATTTTGCAATATTAATATATATTTTATTTTATTTATTTCTATTTTTATCATTTTTTTAAGTAATCATTCAGAAATTAACAATTCCCAAATA